CGCTTGCACCTTGATCCTTCTCCCTTCCCCCAGCAACCAATCAAACCAATATTGTGTGTATGCTCTCATTAGCGGCCATTAGCATTTATTATTGAGATTGAGTCGATAGCGCCTCTGATGCACAATTTAACTACGATGGCATGTCTCTTTCTTTATCTCATTTTCTTATTTTCAAACTCATTCTCAGTCATTTTTTCATTCTCTCTCTCTCTCTTTCTCTTCTCTCTCTCTCTCTCTCTCTCTCTCTCTCTCTCTCTCTCTCTCTCTCTCTCTCTCTCTCTCTCTCTCTCTCTCTCTCTCTCTCTCTCTCTCTCTCTCTCCTCTCTCTCTCTCTCTCTCTCTCTCTCTCTCTCTCTCTCCTCTCTCTCTCTCTCTCTCTCTCTCTCTCTCTCTTCTCTCTCTCTCTCTCTCTCTCTCTCTCTCTCTCTCTCTCTCTCTCTCTCTTAAGGCCTTTTTGTAGCATCCCCGAAACCCCAAACAGTGTGATGCACGTTATGACATGTTGCCATTATGCGAACATTACTGGGACATGTTGAAGCATCTTTTCATTTTGTATCAAAGTCGTTGCCGCTACTTTGAAACAGTTTGATGCACTCTGGCCAGCCAATCAGAGCGTGATATTTTAGATATATTTCACTCAGGTTCAGATAGAATTTCATATTTTCATTAATTACGAATCGAGTCCCTTAATGCAAAATATTTTAAAGGCGCATAAGATATTTTTGTGCCTTTTTAGTAGTACACCAAATAAATGTTGGTTAATCAAAACCTATCGACTACATGGCAAGAATTTTTGTTGTCCGAATCATATGACTTGATACTGACTTTTAAAAATCATTATGTACCTCTATGATAAAACCTTGCAGGCTCAAAAATACCACAAAATAAACTGTGTATCTTGATTTGTTGATATAACTCAGTCTAAAAGACAAACAAATATCACGAATCATTAGTGTTATCGAGTTATTCGATTCGGACACAGAGCTCACTCACGGCAAAACCTCGTTCGTCTTTAGTCTCTCTTTTCTCATTCTCATTTTTCTGTGCGTTCGTGTTTGTGTGTGTATGTGAGTCTGCCTTCCTAACCCTCTGTGTGTTTTCTCTTCTCTTATTTGATAGTAGCCTTTCAGTTATCTTATATTGGAGCAAAAATATATGGATGCATATGAAGGCATTTGTGAAATACTAGATAGGGATTAAGTATTTTATTTATGAAATGAGATAATTGCAACAGCTACGGAACATCGCAGTCACATAAGTATAAAAAAACAGATCCTCTGTTAACAACACTCTTGTCTTTAACGTGGGTTGCAGTCATTACAACACAAAATTTACATAAAACTCCTTTGTCAAGAACAATTAACATATTAGTAACTCAGAAGAGAGTTACAGTCACTGTATCCTAAAACCGCATTCAAGGTCCAGACGAGACAGGCAGGAGAGGCGAGACCAGGAAGTGAATCCTTCGTCCACCGTGACAGCGCCTTCGTCGTCGAGGTGGAAGGCGCTTGGCTTCGGTCGTCGCTCGTGGCCGGGGGCTTCCTGGGAGAGCCCTTGGTGTCGCCTGAATAGCACACTGTGTTCATCTTTTAGGGAATGAACAGTTCACGCCGAAGGAGGTTCACTGACATGGAACCTTGGCGTCGGGAATGGAATTACGGAAGGCCTTAAAAGGTGGAGGCGAGGACCCAACCCCGACGGATGTCCAGGATTTCCTCCTCAATCAGACTCTCCATCAGGTCCTTGACTTGGCCTCGAGTCTCTGCCTCGAGGTTGATCTGGTCGTCAGCGCCCGGAGGAAGGACTCGCACCTCCCTTAGGAGCTCGGCCTCGTCGTGCCAGCGCTGGAGGGCCTCCAAGTGCAGCGCCAGTTCCCCGCTCTCCACCAGCTCAGGAGCCTCTTCCGTCGGTACCTAAGGGAGAGAGGCATGGCGTTAGCGCCTAACATTGCTTCTTGGTTTCTCTTTATAGATATATACATACATAATATGCCTTTATAGGTTGCTCTGTTGCAAGTGCAAGCAAAGCAAAGACAGCGCAGTCTTACCCGCCATGGCTGTGCGAGACCCTGCAGGCCGTGGAAGCTGGTGATGGTCCTGGCGAGGGCCTTGTGAGGGCGTGGGCGGCTGAGGATGGGCGTGGTGTGCAGGGAAGAGACGAGACGGGGAAGAACGCGGGTCAGAGTGCTGGCCATGTTTGCTTTCTGTCTATGAAATGATAAAAAGCGTTACATGAGGGCCTGTGATATCACTACAGAAACTATTCAGATAATACGCTGCCACTAACAGGCATTCACATTACGCGGGAATATAGTCAAGTTTTTAGGAACCCAGAGAACAGCCCAGAAAGTGATACTCACATTGTACGAATGTTGTGTGCTAAGAAGCTTTCGGGTGGGTTGTCTGTCCAGCTCGGAGTCTGTGGTCTGAGTGAAACCTACACGATAAGCCATCTTTTTATACTGACACGTTATCTCCTACGAAACGGTGTG